AACATGGTTCTGGATAAGCGTGGACTATCCAGAAACGTGGTTCTGGATAAAGCACGGTTCTGGACTACAGCAGGTGCCATGAAACTATTGTACAACCGTTTGAGAGAGATAAGGATATGTGATGGAATGATTTGTAAAGCGACGGTCGTCCAGTTAGTAAGAGATAGCAGGGATTAAATTGCAGAGCGATCGTCAAGGACCCTGTTTTCCAGATGGATTGATCACTGTAATGAGATATGGAGGAGGCATTAGTTTTGTATGAGACCTTAAAAGAGGGACCGTTGAAAGTCGTAGTGGTCCAGTTTGTTAGAGATAGGAGGGCTTAATGAGAGAGATTGCAGGGTTATCATCAAGGACCCTGTTTACCGGATAGATTGATTATTGTGATCAGATATGGAGAGGGCATTACTTTTGTATGAGACCTTAAAAAAGGGACCGTTGGAAGTCGTAGTGGTCCAGTTTGTTAGAGATAGCAGGGCTTAATGAGAAAGATTGCAGAGCGATCGTCAAGGACCCTGTTTACCGGATAGACTAATGATTGTACTCAGATATGGAGGAGGCAATAGTTTTGTATGAAACCTTAAAAGAGTGATCCGTCGGAAGTCGTAGTGGTCCAGTTAGTTAGAGATAGCAGGGCTTAATGAGAGAGATTGCAGGGCGATCGTCAAGGACCCTGTTTGTCGGATAGATTAATGATTGTAACGAGGGCATTACTTTTGTAAGAGCCTGAAGAGAGGGACCCGTCTAAGAAGTAATGAACTTTGCCTCTACTCTCCAAGCAGAGGTTTGGGCTTAGGCTTATTTTTGACGTGTTTATAGGCGTTTTCATCGGGCATTCTTTTTTGTATTGGTATCTATTTTCTTGACGTATTGTATACTGCCCTACCAATGATACTGCCTGGCCAATTTGATACTTTGTTTGTTGTTTATTTGCAGTTTACACTAAGAAGACAACAATATGTGATAACGTACATGAATATACAATTACAAAGAATGTGCCCAAGAAGCCTAGTGGCTTATCGAGGGGGTTAACCCGTAAATACTATGTGTCTTGTCGCCACCAAAACATCTGCTTGGAGACCATATTGTTGGCCCAGCCTCACAAAAAGCTGGTAACTAGTAGAACGTGACACAGAAGTTTAATTCTTGCGAGATTCCACTAAAACCACGTTCACAGCACGTACTAACAGGCATCGGGCTTAATCCATATATCAGAGTTCTTTGTGGGGAGCTTAATATCGCTTCCTCTGTACTGTGTGTGCAGCTGGGATGGTGGCATATCATTCTTCGTGTGTGGAACAACATATGCTCACGTACAACTTGTTCAACTATCGTAGAGTGGAAATTGTTGCTACCAAGCACGGTTGGGGCATCATCACTAGAAAGCTTTAAACAACTCCTGCAATTAAATGTGCAAAGATTGAGTGTAACATACAAGTCGTTGGGTGTGATATAGCCAGCTGCCGCCGCGCCGCGTGCCTGCGAAGCGGTTATACTGGCTATACCGATACAGATAACGTTTCAGACACAGAACTGTTTTGTTCAGTGATTTGCCTTGCGAACTCTTGAGGAGTTGCGACAGAAGAAGTGTGTGTGCCTTTTTAGGCGTCCGAGCTTGGCCAAGAAAAGTTTTGTTGGTATGGCTTCCTTTCTTTCACATTTTCTCGACGTCTTAGTTGCACTTGTACTAAAAACTCTTGTGTTGCGGACGTAAGTTTAAGTCCATTAACAAAGACAACAGTTTCGTTTCAAACGTAAGCTCAAGATTTCTTCTGTTTCTCTTGTTAACTTTTTGTCGTTTTTGGTGCAATAATGTTGCGTTTGCAATTGCCCGTTGTGAACTTGTTTTACCTAGAGACGAAAGCTTTTGCAAACTTGCTCCTTTATTCTGCAAACATGTCTCCGACTTTTGCAAACTTTGTCGCCTGACGTTGCCAGCTTGTTAGTTTGATCTGTCTTTGTTGACGCCAAAGTTCTCGGCGATTCAAGTATTCTGTGCTCGACCCTAACCAGAAGGCCAGAAACGTGCAACAGATTTATTCTGTACGTCAGGGACAGGCCACGAATTGTTGCAAGGAAGGGTAGCCGTAATCTCCAAGCAGAACTTTGGTGGCTGTAAAGACAGTATCAAATTGGCCAAGCAGTATCCATTTACAATCCGAAGTTTAACAGGCGTAACAAAACGATACCAGTACCATAAGAATGGCCTAATACATGTCAAAAATAGACTGAAACCTAAACCTATGCTTGGAAAGTAGGTTCTTTCAAAGCCTTTCTGGAAATATCTTACGACAAAAAATCATGGGGCGAATATGACCGCGCCTTAATACTTGTTTCTTCATGCTTCTTGTCCTCTGTAGACGAACTGGCGGGTGTCTTTCCCCAGTTTGTAAAGGCTAGTCTCTCTCCTTGCTCTTAGTCTCCACCAGACTCCCTTTGCAGGCTGAATAAATCGTAGAAATTGGTCTAAAAAGGGGATATAATTGGCCAGGGGAGTTTCCCGACCATACATAGAGGGTCCAATTGGCCTGCAAACTCCTCTGGCCAATTATATCCCCTTTTTAGGCCAATTTCTACTATTTATTCAACCTGCAAAATGAGTCTGGTGGAGACTACTTAGCTCCAACAACAGCCCAGCTCGCATTATAACGTAACGGCGTCCGTACACACAACAGTCTCCTGCACACAATCCCATCGCATATTTCTGTACAAAAGCGATCATACACACATTATGTGCCACACAAAAGGAAGAGGACACGCGGGAGGACAGAAAACAAGAAACAGCATATCGATGACTTCTCGGGTGATCACCGCTCTCATTGAACCGCCCCTCACCGCCCGGTGCATCTGTATGGCAAGAACAATAGGATTAAAGCTTTGATACCGGGCAGTATTTGAAACGGGCTGCCCGTGTCCTAGCCTAGCTACCAGGCTTACGCATTCGTCGTAGATCGTAGCTAATCTCCAACCAGATTCTCTGGGGCAAGGGGAGTCTGTAACCATTGACGCCTGCCTGGTCAATTTGATATTGTCTTGCCGATTTGATGAGTACTGTCAATTTGATACTGTATTGCAGACTTTCTTGGAGATTAGAGATCATAGTAAGATTTTTTATGTTGTGGAATCTATAAGCAGGTTGTGACAGGACTAACCGGCAGCCTTTTTTTCGTATTTGGTAGATGGTGGGCCGGCTACTCTCTCTTCGCAGCCAAGGGCTGAATTGTGAGGAGCTTACACTTTTATGTATGGCAGATGAATTTGTACCACGCATGCAAGGCTGTCCCAAGAAGGCACCCAGTTTGTGATCGATTTGTCTATCTAAACTCAGAAAATACTAGTAGCCCGGCCACGAAGCCTGCTGTGTAGCCGCCACGACGTCTGGTGTTAAGGCTAGCGGTGTCCAGGGAACGGCATGCCGGGTGCGTGTGTGTGTTTGTGATAACGTTACGTTCTCTTCACGGTGTGTGTGTGCGAATCTTACAACACAGTAATCCTTACAGAAGGCTCCAGAGTATGTAAAGTGGTGTAAGCGTCTTATGGCAGATTTCAAGAGCCCGTGCTGTCTTGTTTGAACAGGCTTAAGGTATGTCTTGTGGACATCTTTGTTTGTCTTAAGCTACGGATTTCAAGTAGGTTCGTTGTCTTTTTTTATACAGGCCGTCTTGAAATAGTCATGCAAGTCCTCTAGGGAGCAGTTTTCAGAAAGGTGCGAATGTACTTACTTTGAAAAAGTTTGTCATATTCGTTCTGTTGGTGTTGGCATGGACTAAATGTAGTAACATTGTATACAATTTTGGGAAAGGATTCTGCTCTGTTTGACATTAGTTTAAGGTATAAAAGTTTATAAGGTGGTCTTCTGGTTAGGGTTGTTGACTTAGAATCTGAGGGATCTGAGTTCGAATCCCCAGCAGGCGTTAGTATTTTTGTTATGGGAAAGGCACTTTAGTTTGATTTGGTTTTTCTTTTTTAATATTACAAAGAAACGAGAAGAAGCCGAACCTCTGTATTAGAGTAGTTTTAGAGCTGTTTGTACTACAAACATGTATATTACCTATTTCATCTGTTCACCTGTACTTAGCCCGATAGGGCATGAATGTACAATAAAGGTTATTATTATTATTATTTAATGCCCACGATCATTATAATAATGTTCATTCTGGCATACTCATTAACACCTGAGCGAAGTGAGGAAAGTCGTGTAAAGTGCCTTTCCCAAGGGCACAAGATCGGTGGCATGTCAGGAGTCGAACCTGGGACCTCTTGGTTCTGAGCCGAATGTTTTGCCGTTACGGCACACGACCCCACGACTTTACACCTATTTCCCCACTCGACTCAAAGTGCAAAGAAGAAGAAGAAGGTCTCCCGTGCTCCTATGTCGAGCGTAGGGTGGTGCCCATCTCCATTTCCGTAGCCCTTGGGCGACACACAGTTGTGAAGGCACTACAGCAGGGGGCTAGTCCGCTGGTAGTGCTGTGTTTTCGACCTTCCCACACTATATCTCATATGTGCTGAGTGCTAAGCAGAGACAGCAGTATGTAACATTCTTAAAGTCTTTGGTATGACCCGGCCGGGGTTTGAACTCGGGCTATCGCACCGGTTACAAAGTGCAAAGAGCAATGAAAATCCCCAACTAAGTTCAAGGCGAGTTCAACAACATTTCACGACCCCAAAACAAGCTTAAAGCTTCCCCATTCCTTTCATACCTCCCAGTAAAAAAAAACAGTCACGTTAATCAGTGCCGATCCTTTATGAACGGTACCAAAACCTGGGCAATGATTTCAGCATTAGGCCACATGTTTCTCATACTTTTGCCCATTACGGAACGGGAGTTCACAAGGTCGGGCAAAACCGCGGAAATACAGGGTGTTTTGTCTTCATAGCGAGTGACAAGAAGGTCCGGGAGTAGCAAAACAAGTAGTTAGAAAAACAAAACTTTAGTATAAGCGAGTAGGGACCGCGAGAGACGGTAGTGCGTTCATGTAGGGACGCTGCGCTTTAAAATGTTGTCTTACAAGTTCGTGTGTGTTGACTTGTTAAAGGCAAGGTAGGAAAGCTGCTCTTTTGCGGTCCTCTTCTTCTTTGTGTTGTAGTAGAAGCTAGAAAAGGAAGATAGATAGATGTGCAAGAAATCAGTCAGAGAAGAAAAATATGTATGTGCGGTGTATGTGAGGGGTGTGTGTGCGGCACCCCAAGATAGGGAATGAATGTACAATGACGGATATACATTCTCATCTCATACAAGTCTTTTTTAAGGTTGATTAGTGTGATGGTATGTTTCTTAAATAATGTTACTTAAGATGACATACGCTGTGCAATAAAGTTTATTCATTGTTTCTATTTATCTTCTTTCTCAATCACTAAGTTGGTGGACAAGTGTACCCTTTAGTGTGGTCTTAGATAGGGCTTGTTTTGTAGATGCTATACGTTGAGAAATAAAATGTGTTTATTGTGTTTGTATTAATCTTTTTGTCTTTCAGTCGCCCAGAGCAACAATGAGAGACTGCCATTAGATGTCACTTGCTGCAACTTTTATATTTGCATTACCGTTCTTACCATGCTACTACGAATGTAAAATAAAGGCTATCTCTCTATTTTTATTTCCAGTCAACAAGAACAAACATGTGGTAGTGATGCGCCCCCATGTGTGTCTCTGAAGGGGGGATCCTCTTGTCTGGTGCCGGTGAAACGAGAGGAGGACCCGGAAAGCATGGTGACGTCGGGGCAGCCGGGATCGTCGTTCGCGCTGGACAGGACCGACAACATGCAACGGGCTTACAGACTGAATCAGCGGGAACAGATTATACTGGACTTACAGGTGTGTGTTTGTTTGTTTGTTTGTGTGCGTGAGTGCGTGCGTGTGTGTGTGCGTGTGTGTGTGTGTGCCTGTGTGTGTCTCCTTAGAGATCCTAATAAAACAAACAAACAAACAAACAAACCTGTGTTGTGTTTCAGGTGCACCACCTGGACACGCAGGCCAGCAGCTCCGTGATGGGCATCAACAAGGAGATCAGGATGCTGAAGGGAGCGCTGCAGCAGACCAAAAGGTGGGGGTGGTGGTCATGGAAGACTGGATAACGTTCAGTGTTACTTGAGTGTTGCTCTTTCTTGTGTTACCACTCAGTGGATGAACTGAACTGGAGCTGCCTTCTCTTTCTTTCGCTCTCTGCCTCTCTCTGTCTCTCTCTATCTATCTCTCTGTCTCTCTCTGTCTCTGTCTCTCTCTCTCTCTCTCTCTGTGTATGTGTTTTTGTGTATGTTAAATTTGTGTCATGTATATGTTCTTTGTGGTGGGGGCGAAGGTTCTATCCGCGTCTTTATTTTGTCTTTACGCTGTTTTAGCATGTACAGCAATTTCTCAAATCACTTCTATTTACTGTTTTTACTTTGACAGGAGCACGGGAAGTAGCGCCGACGTTCTGGAAACGTCAGCCCGGGAGAGACAGGAGGCGGCCCCGGAGCCCAGACGCATCATGATGTACGGCGCCTGGGTGGGACAGCGCTCCTTGCGGACCCGTTCAACACTGCAGTCCGAGCTCATGCGCAACGCCGCTCGCATGCGCCGCCGCTACGAGCGCGGCCACGTCGAGGAAGAAGAGGAAGAAGATCTTGAAGAAGAAAAAGAGGAACAAGAAGAAAACAAAGACATGCATCAAGACAAAACAAGCGTAGAAGACACTGAGACAAGAAAGCCGAGGACACAATCTTTACCGACAAGACCCAAAACTCCAGACTTATCATTGGATGACTTGACACTTCGGCCAAGTTCGGAGCCTGGCGCTTTTAGGAGAAGAAAAAGGGAGCAAAATTGTGAGAGAATGCCCTTACTCTCCAGGCCGAAATCTACGGTGCACAAGAAAATGTCGACGGGCACGCAAAGTTCTCAGGATTTTGAAGAGGTTAAATCTCTTAGCCTTAAGACACAAACGAAAGGGTCATTGAATGATGAGAAAAGTTCAGCGGAACCAAGAACAATCGGTAGGTTGTCGTCTTCCAAGGTGGACCTGTCGTCCATTGCGTCGGTTCAAGAAAGGAAGAACGCCTTAAAGACAACTAAGGACAAGTTAGATCACCCTTCTAGACCTTTGAATGAAAAACCGACGACATTGTCGTACCAAAACAGAAGGGCAACTAAGGACAGCCCTGTCTCTTGCCAAACCAAAGCTCCGAACAAGATTCAAAACTCCTCGACAAGTAGAAGTGGATATTACGAGCCCGCCGCTCGGCCCTTCTCGGCAGACGTCGCCCACCTTCGGCACAAGCTCGAGAAGAGCCGAATCCACTTCGGGTGGACTCGGGGAGGCCAACGCCACGCGATGACGTCACGACCGAGAACGTCATCAGACGTGACGTCACCTTCTGGTCACCGTGAACTTGATCAGTGCTGGGGCGTCCCTAGCGATTTGTACTCGCACGACAGCCACGACAACGACGACAGCCGACCGAGCACACGAGCCGGGACTTGGTCCTTCCTCACAGACGCAACAACAAAAGGCGGGAAGAAAAGCCATAGTAACTGTTACCCTAGCAACCGGACCAAAAAGTCGTCCAACGCGGACAGGGGTTTTCCCGCCAAACCAAGAAAGTCACCCCGCCGGGGTAGACGAAAATCCAGGCTTAGGGCTACGAAGGTTAAACAACAGAACGCGTATGATATATGGGTTAATAACTTTAAATGAAAGAACAAGGCGTTGTACAAACTACGCCAAGGAAATGGATGAATTATGTGAGGAATCAGACGTTTCAAAGGGCATCCACTATCTATAAAGTTTAAGTTGTTTGAAAGTATTTTTGATTGAGAAATTAATAAAATAAAATCTTGTTGAGGTAAGATGCATCGTTTCGTATTGTGTATTTGTTGTCAGTTTTGCTCATTTTGCTTCTAGTTTATTGTAACATTCAAATAAAGCAAAAAATTCGTCATAAATTAGTAAAATTTCTTCAAGCAGAGTTTGGGCTTGTTTTGGTTTTAGGCATTTTGTAGTTCCTTTTTAGTCAACTGTTATTAAGTCAGTATACCCGACGAATTTAAAAGCTGAGAAAAATAAACGAAGCCCGACAAAAGGACCAAAAACGCGCAAAAACGCTCCAACAACCTCTGCTTGGAGAATCCCTGGCAGCCTTGTTTCGAACGGAACTTTCGAACTGTTTATTCTATTCGCCAGTTCGATCGTTCGAAAAACGCCAAGCAACCTCTCCCTCAGTATCCAGTCCAACCGTTAGTAAACAACAAAGCCACAGACTTACACCGTGCATACACATGTACAACAGTGATTATTATGGGAGCACCCAGCCGATCTCCACGTTCTAGCAGCTCCAACGTTAGCACGAAGGCTGGGAGAAGTGGCAAGACCAGATCGTCCTCCCCTAGATATGCCACGGGCAGGCGGGGCTCTCTGAAAAACTCCCCGTCAAAGACAAAGACACGGTCGAAATCAGTGGAGAGTAGATCTCCAAGATCACCGCAAAAAGGTAAGGCCTGACAAGTACTTACTATTAGCAAATATCTTTATTTCTTGGCAACATTTCTTGGGAGATATAATCGCTTACATGTATTGATTGGTATGTTACGAGTCAACAGGAGCAAAAGTTATGTTGAGTGACATCTGTCACTAGTATTCTTCGTCAGCGTCACTAAAATGAACTGACAGAACTAGAGAAAACATGTAAAAAAACTCGGAAAATGGTTGAACGGTAGTCATAACAAAGACTCCTAAGTGTTACTACTATATCTAAATAAGGTTTAAGTAGTTGCTATTGTAAGACAATACCATATGAACTACTACTGTCCAGGGGTAACAATTTCAGTGTGTAGATGGCGTTCAGCACCAAGGACAGATACAATAGCCTATGTGTTGCACAATGTTTGTCAGTGTGTGGATGGCGTTCAGCACCAAGGACAGATATCATTGCCTATGTGTTGTACATAGGACGCGTGTGTTTGCTTATCATGAGAAGGGCCCCAAATGACTTGTCTGTTTCAGTTAAGAGCAAAGAACGCCGCCCGACGTCGGGAACACGCAAATCGCGGAGTGCTGAGAGAGACCAGATGCCCTCCTCCTCCCGTGACGGTACTCCCAGGGCTGGTGGGAGCACCACGAGGGTACAGCATGCAGAACGCAAGGCTAAGGACGCCGCCAAACAGGTAATGTTAACACTGCTATATACACTAGCCATCCGTAGGCGTAACACACCAGTTCAGTCTGTATCTGTACATGTATAGCCGGTATAACCGCCTTACACCGAACGACCTGTTACATCCACCCTTTGAACATTTAACTGTAAATCGTTCCTTAAATCTATCTAGTGATGATGCCCTTACAGGTTATGTATTGTGGTGCATGGCGTGGAGCTACAATTCAGACTAGTTCTTTTGACTTTGACTCGATTGTGTGTCTGTAGGTCTGTCTGTCTGTCTGTCTGTGTTTCTGCAGACCAGTTTCTGTATGTACCACCAGATGGCGCTTTTCCTGAGGGAGTGAAGTCTACCATCTCTGATTAGCCTGTACCAGGCTTCGAGAGGCGGTTGGAAAGAGTAGAAATTGGCCAAATAGAGAGATAACATGTCAGGGGAGTTGGTCCGCTAGAGGGTACATTTTGCGGCACCCGGGTGCGGCAAAACTCACAGACCTCGACATGTTACTAGCATCTCTCTATTTGACCAATTTCTCCTCTTTTCATCCGCCTCCCGAAGCCTGGTAGAGGCTAATCTCTGATCATGACTGCCTTTTTTTTACAGGTGGCGACCGGGAGTGCCTCCAAGGATAAAACTGACACCACCCCTCGTGGAGGCCGGCGCCGGCAGAGCAAGTTTCCGCGTACCAGCTCCGCGGGCAAAATCACCAAGGCGCGGCGTCGTACCTCCCAGTCTCCTTCCGGTGCCAAGATAGAAGAAATGCTGATCAGTCCCAGCGGGTCCTCAACTAGCTCAAGGAGGAAGAAAACTCCTCCGAAGAGGTCTTCAAACCTACGCAAGCGTCTTAGCGTGATCGCGGAGGACAGTCGGGAGAGCATCTCAACCAGAAGGAGGTCTAGAAGCGTAACTAGAAGCGCAAGCAGATCTAGTAGTAAGAACGTTTATTTTTTTCTATTCCAACATATAATCACAAGACGTGGTGACGGCACATTCAAGTTTTTTCAACTTATATTAATGCCAAAATCCACAAATTTTGGAAAAGTTGGGACATTATAATTACGTCTTCCATGGTTACAGAAGAGAAGTCAAACCCTTTAGACATAGTTTTAGACATCTTTATAGTTCTAGCTCTATAGTTCTTTATCATGTAGAATTTAGTTATCTTATACTCTGTTTCATTGTTCTTTTATGTTTTGTAATTTGCAATTAGCCTCCGGGCACGAATTTGCAATAAACTTGTCAACATTTACAAATCCTCTCCGACACAGGTACTAGCGCAACGACGGGTGAGGCTCTGACAGACTGTCTTGAGGCGCAAGACGTTTCGCTACGGAGTTCCCTGCGAGAGAACGGCTTCGCCTTGAAGCAGCTTCTGAAGAAAAGCGACGCCATTGCGCCAGAGCGAGGAGGGAACGTCTACCTCGCGCACGCGGCGAACCTCCAACCTCCGCGAGACGTTGTCTTAAAGATTCTCCGTCGCGACTTCGCTCCACGGACAAGACGCCAGTTCTTCCTTCCACAAGAGTACTACATCTGCCGGGACCTCTGTAACAGTAAGAAGGCGGCGCACCCGAATATTGTGGAGTTCCACACGCCGTTGCTTCTCCTGGGAAGCCGGGTGTGTTTCCCGATGGAGCGCTGTTCAGGGGGAGACTTGCTACAAATGCTCTACCGAGAGAAGAAACTACCGGAAACGGCGCTGAGAGGATTCTTCTCCCAGGTACGTCGGTGAAGGTTAGACATCCAGGTAATAAAAAAGTCCTCCCCGCAACCATTAGCAAGGTCATGGTCTCATATGGCGGCGCCCATCTCCGTTTCTGTAGCCCTTGGGCCACACAGTGCAATCACTACAGTAGGGGGCTAGTCCGCTGGAAGTGGTGTGTGTTTAACTACAGTAACTACACTTTTTCTATAATGCTGATAGCAATAAGAAACGCCAAAAAAATACAGTTACTCAAGCAACTGGATATGATTTTGGAAACGGTCAGACGTTTCAGGTAGCATCCTAAGCCTTTCGTCAGTGACACTAGAGACATGCAGGAGAATGACAGGTTTATAAGCACGAACTATTGATTGATATGTAAACTAGAAAGGTCACATTTCCAAGGCAAATGCATAATGTTTAGCTTGGCATATGGTCTGCTCTGTTAATTCTTACTCCAACACTTTTAATATATATGGTCAGGCAGGAGTCTAAATCCCTCCTGCTATAAAATTGCAACATGACGTAAATCAACACTAGTTACCATGGCAACAGACACAACATTGATTCAGGTCATTGGTGTCACTGTTTGGAGAAGAAGAAGAAGAGGAATCGTCGCAAAAACAATATGTTTTCCTTCGGTAAACATACATGTAATTATATAATAACAAGTGACAAATTTCTTCCCCCAGGCCCTGGACGCCGTGCAGTTCCTCCACTCCAAGGAAATCGCGCACCTGGACCTGAAGTGCGAACACTTCCTCCTGGACGGCGGCGGAAGCGGAAACGTGCGCGTGCGAATCTGCGGGTTCGGCTGGGCCACGAAATTCGACCCGGGGAGACTCGAAGAGGACATCTACTGCCAAACTGTCGGTTACACTCCTCCCGAAGTCGTGAGGCGACACCCCTACGATCCTACCAAAGCAGACGTCTTCGCGCTAGGCGCTACGCTCTACATCCTCTGTACAGGGAAGTTCCCTAACCCCAGACTTTTAGAACTGATGGGGAAAGGTTCTCCCAACTTCCCCAGGACACCGGAAGTTTCCGCGCAGCTGAAGGAGCTGGTTCGCGCCATGATGGACGCGGATTGGTCCAGAAGGCTCGAACTAAAGGAGGTGAAGCGGTCGGCGTGGATGAAGAGAAAGTAGTTCCTATGACTCAGTTTTTGTTTGTTTGTTTGTTTGTTTGAGTATCACCGGTGACATAGAACACAAATGATTGTCGATGTGTTTTCGTATTTTCCTTTTGATATGACGGATTTCTATTATATTTATAAGATGGAAAGGCCTTACCGTCATCAGCATAATGAAAATTCCTGTATTTTACTTTTAATGAAGGGGACTGGACTTTGCTGGGACAATAATGGCATGTTGGGTATCGATATTTGTAAAATATTCGTTTGAAGGTCCTATAACAGTGTACATGGTTGGCAAGATCATTATCATGATATATATATATATGTGTGTGCGTGTGTGTGTGTGTGTGTGTGTGTGTGTGTTTGTGTGTGTGTGTGTGTGTGTGTGTGTTGAGACGAAAAGGTCAGAATAAAACATTTTTTAAAGAGGATGCACGTGAACAACTGAGATTTTGTGAAATAATGGACGAATTATATGGGGAACATTGTTACCTCACAAATAAGCCCCGTACTTTTTCTTTGGCTAAATGGGGCATATTAGAAAGGTAACAATCTTCCCCACCAACCTCTGCTTGGATGGTAGCTTTCCGAATGTGGTTCGACCACTTCTGGGAGACAGCTGCAGTGACCGACCTTAACCCGACGACTCTCGACACTCAGTGTATTTGTAACATTTCCAAAGAAAAAAGGCGCAGCTACCAAGTATGTGCGTGTTTCCAAAGAAAAAGATTTACAGCTTAATACAGAGCTTGTAAAAAGCTCAGGGGTGTGTTTTCAAAGGCAAAAATGAGGTACCAAGTAACAGAGGTGTGTTTACCAAGAAAAGAGCGCAATTACAAAGTAATACAAAGGTCCGATTCCAAAGATAGAAGTGACCGACCTTAACCTAACCACTCTCCTCACTAGCGCCATTGTTGTAATCTCCAAGCAGATCCTACGGTGGCAAGGCAGTATCCAATCGGCCAAGGAGTGACAATCTAATCTCCAAGCAGATATTTTGGTGGGGGTAAGACAGTATCAAATTGGCCAGCCTGTATATTTCACTTCAGTGGGGAAATGGATACAGACTGGCCAATTTGATACTGTCTTACCCCCACCGAAAGATCTGCTTGGAGATTAGTGACAATCTGGTAGCTTATACTAGTATATGGTCACTCCTTGGCCAACTTAGTGGATACTGCCTCGTCACCGTAGGATCTGCTTGGAGATTACTAGTACCATTGTACGACCCGACCCTCTAATGTTTCTAACTAGAGGTATGGGTCTATCAAAGTTCTACATGCAGATTCAACGGGTACTATATCTGGCAGAATGTTGAATAGAACTACTGACTAAGTGCTAGTACACCTCTACACGTACGTTCTAAGTTACGCTATACTATATCCATAAAGAGTACAATGAGCAGTTGTACGTGTGTAATGAGGGACGATCTTGTGACCCGAATGTGGTTCTACCACTTCTATCTTTGGATACTGACCTTTGTATTACTCAGTGATTGCACCATTTTCTTTGTAAACGCACTACTGTTACTTGGTACCTCTCTTTTTCTTTGAAAACACACCCCTAAGTTTGTTACTCGGTATGAAGTAACGCTGCAAATGCATTTCTTTGAAAACACACACCCCCTACTTGGTAGCTACACCTTTTTCGTTGGAAACACGTTTTTGTGTTACTTTATAGCTGTCACTCAGAGAGTTCACTTCTTGTCTATATCTTTTTAAAATCTGTGTTTTATTTCGCGTTAACTAGAACTTCAGTTACAATCGGCTTTAGGATTGTTGTGTGTATCTTATATATGTGGACATACTGACATTTTGCCTACACCCTTCCCTTCTCTATAGCTCTATGTCTGTATTAAAGACAACAATTAAGGCTAAATGTGCACTGCGGCGAGTGTCATTGACCTGGGTGGGGTACCTTAGGCCACAGCAAGTAATTTTGGCCTGATTTTGAAAAAGAAAAACACACAAGAAATTTTGTTGCCTTCTCACAGTGGTCAACATGCCCAAAATGGGCCAAGATACCTGCTGCCATGCCGGAAGGTGGATGGCAGATAACTATGAAGAGAGGAGACAAGAAAAGGCTCTGATTTAATGTTTTGTTTCTTACTTTGATGCAGTGATATGTGATGCTGGCTGTGTATACGTGATGTTCCCACTGAATAAAAACTATTTATACAATGATTGAGTCAAAATTTTGAAATGTAGGAACCTTGTTTCTTTCGGCACGCCTTGTTTTTTTTCGCCCGCTCGCATTAGATTTGGAGTCTGTGGAGGATGTCATCCATAAAATTTACTTGCTGTGGCCTTACCTACCCTGAGGACGAAACGTGCAACCACCTCGGCGATACACCCACTCCACTTAGAGTGCGACCGCACCAGGGAGCGGTTATGCCCCAGCTCCAGAGCCAATATCGTACATCTAACTCCAGATTGGAACGAAATTGGCACTCGGACACCCTTTTTAAGTCATCTTCTGTCTTCCAGCAACCTTCAGTGGTAGAATTCACCTGTGCCGTGAACGAGAAACAGTGGCTAGACACCAACAATAATGGTAGGTGACGAAATCGTCGATAGTAGGGGGGTTCTGTAAGGGGACCTGCATGCGTTTTTTTAGTGAGGCGTAATCAGGCCGTTTCAGTCTTCGTAATCCGTAGGCAGCCTCCCAAAAAATCAACGTCATTCGTAATAGTAGCCGGAAATCGTAAAATCGTAATCAACTCTGAGACTTTAACGTAAATCGTAATCAGCGGCGAAACATTTTGCGTAATTCGTAATCACTACCCCCAAGCAGGCCCTCTTCTAGCCGGTCACAGTTTTTTCCGTTTTAAATGTAGTTTGAGACTATTGTAGTATCGAAAAATGAGAGAGGATCGTCCTTTGTACAATGTGACGATATTTCCCTGTCGGTTTTTAACCTAATATGCAAATCAGGAACAGAATCACAATGTGTTTCGGGCTAGATCTGCTCGAAATTCACAAAATCAAGTGAAAAGTAATTTTTTTTCCATTTTAAATAGCGTCTGTTGAGGTTTAACTTGAAGGTGAAGGATCTTAAGTCAACGCCCTTGACTGCAGAACAACATGGCCGCAACTTGATATACGACTTTGTAGGTCGGAAGGCCAGGGTGTCTTAGGTTGATAAAAATCAAAGATAGCGCACATTGTGGACTCAAGCTTTGCTAGATGCCTGCTTGTGATATTAGCTTGTGTGTGTTGCGTAGATTTTGTTTTTGTTTTTATTTCTTTGAATCTTTTTTTCTCGGTGGTTTGGATCTCATGTGCTCTCAAGTGTCGGTAAGGTAGCCTGGGGGTGATCTGTTAGGTTGACAAACATTAACGATATCACACATAGTGTGGACTCAAACTTTGCTAGATGTCTGCTAACGATTTTAGCTTGTGTGTTCCGTAGATTTTGTTTTATTTTATTTTATTTTATTTCTTCGAGACGTCTTTTCTTTGAGATCATGGGCCTTCATGTGTCGGTAAGGTAGCCTGGGGGTGTCTCTTAGGTTGATAAACATTAAAGATATAGCGCACGTATCGTGGCCACCAACTTTTCTAGATGTCTGCTCGTGGTTTTAGCTTGTGTGTTCCGTAGATTTTGTTATATTTCAGTCCATACCATGGTATGGATGAAATATATTGTGTTCTCTGATGTTTCTTCTTCTCCTTCTCCTTCTCCTCCTGCCACACAGTCAAAGGGATTCAACTCCGCCATCATTCAGCCAAATGATTTGAAATTTGGCATGGAGGTAGAGTGGGCCAATACCCCCAGGCGTTTTTTTTTCATTTTTTTGATACATGCCTTTGAAAAATTTTTATGAAGGTTTTTTGGGGCATTTTTCGCCAAAAAATGGATTTTTGGACCCTGAGCCCTGGTTTTACAACCAAATGATCTGAAATTTGGTATAAGGGTACCTTGAACATGTGTCTACAGAATAGCAGTCACATATTTGGCATACACCACTTCCAAATGACTCATTTGGGGGACTTTAATGGCTATTTTCAGCAAAAAAAGGCCAAAAGTGCTATACCCGTTCCATGTTCTATCTAAAGAATGGCACGTTCCATCTGCCGTTGGCCATGGAACACGTGTTCCATAGCGGGTTACCTGAGGTCACATTGCACGTAAGTTGTGCGTAATGACCCACACATTCAATTTTATGTGCCTAAGACCTTCAAAATGTATCAAATGTCATCATTGTTAGTATTTGCATACCTGTAATAAGATTAGAGCTTTCGAGATTCAATGTGCTTGTTCTTACATCTTTGTTCTCAATTACATAGCTACTATATAATTCATTTATTTGAGAATCTTTGCCAGTTTTACACTGGGGTAAGTTTGGAATAGTCCACTTTTGCGTGGGAGGGAGATGGACTGAAATATGCTGTATTTGCTCCCAAGCAAATGTCGGCCTCTCTAGTTTTATTTTATTTCTTCGAGACTTCTTTTCTCTGTGGTTTTAAGATCATGGGCCTTCATGCGTCGGTAAGGTAGCCTGGGGGTAATCTCTTAGGTTGACAAACATTAAAGATATCACACGTATTGTGACCACAAACTTTGTTGGGCGTTTGCACATGATTTTAGCTTGTTTGTTCCGTACATTTTGCAATTGTTTTCTTTGAACCCTTTTAAAAAAAGAAATTCTCGTTGGTTTGGGGCTCATGTGCTGTCAAGGTAGCCTGGGGTATACTAAGAAATCTCTTAGATCGACAAACATTAAAGATAGCGCATATAGTGTGGACACAACTAAACGTCGTTGGATGTCTGCTCGTGGTTTTAGCTTGTGTGTTTCGTAGATTTTGCCAGTGTCTTTTTATGTCTTCAGAACTACTTTTGGGGCTCATGTGCACCCATGTGTCTGTAAGGTATAGCCTCGGGGGCTACTTTAATAGTAGTCTCCGCCAGACTATAAAAAAACACCTCGCGCGTGTTCAAAACAGTAAAAGTTGGCTAAATAGGTGGAATTATTGGCCAGGAGTATTTGGCCACCGGAGAAATGAAACCCTAACGATGGACCTACTGACTTTCCTGACCAGTCAGACCCTATTTTTCCGAATGACTCGTTGAAGCTACGATAATAAATCATACACGCTTGTCCCAACAGTCTGGCGTGGGTTGCAGACTGCCACGTCGGTCTTAGTCTCCAAGCAGAGGTTTGGGCTTTGGGTTACAGTTATATTTGGCGTATTTTTAGGACTGGATTTTTTTTTCGTAACACACACACACACGCACACACACACGGGCGGAGGTCTCCAGGACGTCGGCGCTGCTTCCCGTGCTCCTGTCATGACAGCAACAGGGAATAGAGTGAGTGCTTTACATAGGGTCTTTAAACAGCGCAAGGACAAAATTAGATATGAAGACGTAGATAGAACACCCCAACACACAGACAGACATACGCGTGCACACACACACACACACACACACACACACACACACACACACACACACACACACACACATAGTGATACACACACACACACACACACAAACGCGAATTACGCTCTACTCAAAATGCACCAATTGCGCTCTACCTTGAATTAGAGCGGTCCGTCTACGCTCTACGTAGAATTCCAGCCGTTTTACTAGGAACCGTTCCTAGTAAAACGGCCGATTACACACAAGTCTTTTCTTCAGCCCACGTTTCTAAATCTGTCACATGTACCGCACGATGTATCTCTAAAATACCGGGAAAGTTTGGAGATTAGTCGGAATGTAACCGCCCTCCGGCGTTAGACACTAGCTTAGGAGGCACGTACGTAACGACTTGTCACACCTACTCATGGCCGTAGCCAGGGGTCTTCCCACTGTCTAAGGTTCCTAGGGGGTTCGGGGTAATGCTCCCCCGGAAAATTAAAAAAAATTGAACCTTCTGTAATGGCATTTCATGCGTTCTTCATGTGTGTATATAAAAAGTACACACAACAAATATATGCTTCTCTCTAATGTCACCTTTCTAAAGGTCGGCTTTGATATGAGACCAGGGTGCGTACCCTCTGGCGTTTTCACCAACTGAACTATTTTGTAGCAGTTAAGTGGCAAAATATAGATTGAGATTGTCCGTTGATACATTTGAAGTTGCATAAAGTTGAATCTGAAAAGATTATTGCGATTTCAACAATTTTGTTTGCTTTCTCATCTCTAGATCTAGAGATATTAGGACAGTCATACATAATTCTAGCAAAAAACTACTTCATGTCTTTGTCTTTATTGACAACAACTTTTGTATTAAAGATCTTCCTACAAATAAATGATAATGACAGCGAAGTATTTTTGAAACTGTCTTAAAGGTGTTATTTTACCTTCCAGATGGCAGAAGCAGTTGAAGGTCAAGTTCAGTACTTTCAGTTACACAGTGACCTTGAAACGGACGTGAAGGTCGTCATCTCGAGGGAAAGCCTGGAGACCCATGTTAGTGAAAGTGATGAGGAGACCGAAGTTAGTGAAAGTGACGATGAGCCCCATCTTAGTGAAAGTGATGATGAGACTGATATTAGTGAAAGTTACGGGCCCCATGTCAGTGAAAGTGAAGAGCCTGATGTCAGTGAAAGTGGCGAGAACTATAATAATGAAAATGATGATGAGACAGAAGTAAGTGAAAGTGATGAAGAGACCGAAGTCAGTGAAAGTGGCGAGACCCAACTTAGTGAAAGTGATGAGGAGACCCATGCTAGTGAAAGTAGTGGAGAGACCCATGTTAGTGAAAGTGGCGAGACCCATGCTAGTGAAAGTAGTGGCGAGCCCCAAGTTAGTGAAAGTGGCGAGACCCAAGTTAGTGAAAGTGGCGAGCCTCATGTTAGTGAAAGTGAAGAGGAGACCCACGTTAGTGAAAGTGGCGAGACCCACGTCAGTGAAAGTAGCGAGCCCCAAGTTAGTGAAAGTGGCGAGACCCATGCTAGTGAAAGTAGTGGCGAGACCCAACTTAGTGAAAGTTACGAGCCCCATGTCAGTAAAAGTGGTTATGTGACCCACATTAGTGAAAGTGGCGAGACCCACGTCAGTGAAGTGAAAGAGACCCAAGTTAGTGAAAGTGACGAGCCTCGTATTAGTGAAAGTTACGAGACCCAAGTTAGTGAAAGTGGCGAGCCTCGTGTTAGTGAAAGTGACGGACCTCATGTCAGTGAAAGTGGCGAGATCCACGTCAGTGAAAGTGGCGAGACACATGTTACCGAAAATGATGATGAGACCCATATACATGTCAGTGAAAGTGGCGAGACCCATGTAAGTGAAAATGGCCAGAGCTACCATGTCAGTGAAAGTGGTGAGGGAACATCAAACAATCCTTCACCGCCGACCAGCGCAGGTGATGCCGATGAAAGCGAAAGTGCGGGGAGGAGGAAGAAACACAGCTGTCCGTACTGTGGGTACAAGACGTGGCACGGCGGGCACATGCGGGAACACAGGCGCGTCCACACAGGTATCTTTATTATGTTTACCGAAGGAAACATATTGTTTTTGCTACGTTTCCTCTCCTTTTTCTTCTCCAAACAGTGACCTCTGGTCTAACTGAACTAGACTGTCTCTCAGAGTCTCTCACTGACTGTCTGTCATCATGTAACTGGTGTTGGGTTACATAATGTTGCAATTTTATAGTAGGAGGGATTTAGACTCCTTAGTCACCATATAAGTGAATGTGTGAATGTGAGAACGGGATTTTCTGACAAAAGGGCACTAATATAATATCATAATATGGCAAAATGATGAGTAATTTTGCTACAAACACCATAGCGACTATACTTCGCATAACAAAATTACTTGGGCAAGTACAGGGGGCGGGGTATTCACTTGCGAGATCAGTACTTTTATTTGCCCTGGGCAAGTGGGCAATGGGACTTGACTATTTCTTGTGACTATTCCAGGTGAGAGGCCGTTCAAGTGTAAGAGGTGTGACTATTCCGCCTCGCGAGTCGCTCATCTCAACTACCACATCATGGCGAAACACCCCTGCGGCTGCGGGTCGGTGTCGTCTTGCGAACTGTGCAGGTTTGTTTGTTTGTTTGGTTTTTTGTTTGTTTGTTTGTTTGTTTGTTTGTTTGTTTAAAGGCATCCAGTGCCGTTTTTAGGGCTTGGAATCCAGATTTTTCAAAGTCAATATTCTAGTCACTTATCTACATACTAAGTTGAAACAACACTGTCCCAATGTGTATCAACATTCATGGAGGAAAAGTGCCTACAATTCTGACGGAAAATGGTTACTGGAAGAACCTGCTGGATTGATTTTTAGTTTTTAGGGTACCACCCAGAAAATAAAGGACTAATCTTGGGGCTTGTTTCTGCAGTTAAACAAGTTAATCAAAAAATTTTATTTCTGCAGTTTCGCGGTGAAGAAGCGAGAAGCGCAGAAGAAGTACAAGAAGGTTCCGCGCCCCCGGGACCGCGCCAGGCCGCATCACTGCGAGCTGTGCAGCTACGCCGCGGCAGAGAAGGCCACCCTGGTCCGCCACCTCATGTCCAAGCACAGCGACTACCGCCCCTTCACCTGCGATCTGTGCGGCTTCTCGGCAGTACGAAAGTACATTTCATTTTTCATTTTCATTTTTATCTATTTATCCAGGGGTAGCATATGGCATATAGCATAACCAATGGCGGTTTTCAACGCTCCCTGTACAGAAACAATACATAATATGATAACCGAGAAAAAGTAAAAGAACTAACGTCGATGAAGGTTAGACATCCAGGTAATACCATACGCCAAAAAGCAGTTACTCAAGCAACTGGCATGGATATGATTTTGGAAATGTCAGACGTTTCAGCTAGTATCCACTAGCTTTCGTCAGTGACTGAGAGACCAGAGGAGAATTGCACAACCTATTGATTGATATGTAAATAAAGTGAAGACAATTTTTTTGGAAGTCGAAATGGACCAAAGTCACTAATTTAGGTGCAATCATAATCGTCGTGATAATAAAAGAAATATGACAAATGATGTAAATGATATTGATAATGCAGGTACAGTCTGCAGTCTCACATGGCGAGTCACCAGGGGATCAAGCAGTACAAGTGTACCGTCTGCACGTATTCCACCAACATACTACCCAACCTGGACAGGCACATGTTCACGCACACTGGGGAGAAGGTAATCATGAAAGTTCATCTGTGTTGGTAGTAATCATAGTAAAACATTGAACTTTATTCCAACACACAGATTAAACAGCGATCAAATTTTCAGCGACCACTGTCGCCTTCATCAGGATAATTAATGACCAATCACTTATGAAATGAGAGAGAGGAGGTAGTTATTATTGAATTATCATTAATGAGTTATCATAAATATATATATTCCATAATATTTAAACCAAAGATGCATAATGCTGTTTGGACTATTTTTGGTAGTTATTATTAAATTATCATTAATTAGTTATATCATAAATCATAGATATATATATATTCCATAATATTTAAGCCAAAGATGCATAGTGCTTGTTGGACTATTTTTGAGGAAAAAAATAGATATTAGCAGACATAGAAACCATTCGAGTCAGAGCATTGTCATAAAAAAACATTATGAATACGAATCTCCAATTATTGATGGGGTCGTGTGGCGTAGCGGCAGAGTGCACGACTCGGAACCTAGAGGTCCCGGGTTCGAGTCCTGACATGCCACCGATCTTGTGCCCTTGGGAAAGGCACTTAACACGACTTTCCTCACTTCGCTCAGGTGAAAATGAGTATTGTACTGTCCCTGTGTTGGTGACGGCATTAATATAAGTTTGAAAAACTTGTGTGTGTCGTCACCACGTCTGGTGATTACCGTAGTGTTGTAATAAAAAAAATGGATCGAGATCACTTTCTTTCTTTCTTTCTTTCTTTCTTTACAATAGCCGTTTAAGTGCAGTATGTGTGACTACGCCGCCTCGCGGAAGGCCCGGATACAGCTGCACGAGGCGACGCACACGGGGTACAAACCTCACAAGTGCGACCAGTGTAACTACGCCGCAGGACAGCTGTCCAACCTGAAACTACACATCGCGAGGCACCATACCGGGGAGAAGCGCTTCAGGTGCGAGATTTGTATGCTTACCAAAGGAAAACATCATGAAAGTTCATCTGTGTTGGTAGTTACATGTTTAAAGTTAAAACTTTCGATCCACCACAAAAAGTTCTCTCACCTAGAGCTTTCGACAAGTTACTCTGATCTTCCTCAGTAGACTGACCCAGTGAGGCTTGTCACGTGGCTTCTTTGTAGTGTGACGTCAACACTGGGTCAAAGGTATCTGGTACATGATGGAAAGAAGGAAAACATGCTACGTTTCTTCTTCGTCTTCTCCAAACAGTGACCTCTGACCTGACTGAACCAGACTGTCTCTCACCATGGTAACTGGTGTTGGGTTACATAATAGCAGGGTTACTAACATTGCTTTCCTAGCATGTGCATAGTTACCGAGGTAGTGGGATTGAGAAAATTTACCGTATTGTCACACCCATGGTATGTACTGCGTTATTATAAACAGGTGCGACATCTGCGACTATTCCACCGTGCGGATCCACTACCTAAAGATGCACATGGCGAACCACACCAACAACAAGCCTTACAAGTGCGAGGTTTGCGACTACGCTTCGGCTACGAAGGGGAATCTGAAGAAACACAACGACAGCATTAAGCACAAGCTCGCAATGATACGCCTGGGGTTGTGCGACATCTCCAGTTTATTCACGGGAGCGACCGGAAAGCGAACGCGGGTACAGCTCTACAAGGGAGGCCCCGCTCCAGAGGCGTCGGCAAAAACGCCACCATGCGACGACGGTGGGTGCAACAGCTCAGAAACGCAAAGTGCGAATCATGTGGAAGCGCAAAACTTGTATGTATCGGTACCGATGGACCTGTAAACCACATCAAGTCGTAGCATGGCAGTCAGAATCACATGTTACGTTAAAATGGACTGTTACGTTTGATTAATCTCCAGCAGATCTTTCGGTGGCAAGACAGTATCCATTGGCCAGAGGAGTGTCCATTAGCCACCGAAGATTGGGAAATGAATACAGGACGGCCAATGGATACAGGATGGCCAATGGATACAGGACGGCCAATGGATACAGGATGGCCAATGGATACGGTCTTTTGCCATACTCTCCAAGCAGAGGTTTGGGTTTTGGGGGTATTTTTAGCGTGTTTTAAGGCTTTTT